AGTTAAAGAACAACCAGACTATAGATGCTCAAGTTATAGCAATGGAACCTGTGGTTGGCTGGCAGAGAAATAGTCTGAGATATGGATTTGAAGTTTCCACTCCCCCGACACACAAATACATGTACGTGTGTATACATATGTACATATGTGCATATATATTATATATGTAAGGAAATGCAGATATATATATAGGTAGATATGCATTTGTTTGTTTACAAAAACTACGCAAACAAAGAAGGGCAATTTTACACGCCTGGGGGCCTTCACAAAGATAACTCTGGTCTTTAAAACGTCAGGTTTCAGGTGGAAGTGAAGAGAGAACTAATCAAACTCTCAAACTGTTATCCTCCCAGATTAGAGATGAGCCCAAATACCATGGAACTCTTTATTCACACAGAACATGTAAGGAAAGCCCATTAACCCACCACCCTAGCTCATTTGTTGATATCAACAATTGGCAGTTTTCACTCTGATAGAGATTTATTTTAGCAGACTAGCTTCTGCCCTTTCTCAGGATGGGGAGGAGAAATGATACAAAACAAGGAAAGTGTCTTACATGGGGATTTGGGAAGAAAATGCGTAGATCAATATTTCCTTAGCTCCTCTGGTAGGAAGTCCTTAGCAGGAGAAACATCACAAAGACTCTGAGTGCTGAAGGGAAAAAGGGAGAAGGGAAGCTAAAAGAAGGAGCTGGAGATTCTCAGAACTCAAACCACACAAACGTGAAGTGGTGAGGTCTCAGACTTGACCTGGGTCCAATGTGAAAGCTATCTCATTTGTAAATCTTAGCCTATTACCCCCAAATAATATTATCTCTGGATCTAGGTTTGATACTGCGTGGAGAACCACAGCGAGCTATATATATTTGCATTTAGTAATTTTTAAAAAATTTCCCATTCACTTCTATGGTCTGTCCATATTGTACGGAAGAGAAGTAAGAATATTACATTGCCAGGCTCCCCTTGCCCAGGGTTCTGAATGTGGCCTACATTATGTAGTGAAACTTAGTGTTATGAGATTTGGAAGGTGGCAGGTAGGCTGAAGCCACCTCACGTAGTGGACACAAGGGTGTCACAGACAGGAGCCTTGTGTTCCCAAGACATTCCACACTCTCGGGGCTCTAGAGGAGCTATGATGTCAGTAATGGAAAGCTACTAGGAACCTCAGAGGTCAGGAACCTCTTAAAGTTAGGGGTCTGTACTGACATACTAACAGTTTTAAGGTATAATTCCTCATCATAGGGAAAAATTGTGATAAACAATTCTGTTTATAGTGTCTACAGAGATTTCTATTTCCTGACTGAACTCTGACTATACAACGGCTCGTCACCATTTAATCTTACCAAAAAGACCTCATTCAGGTGCCCTCAGAAATTCCCTCAAACACACAGGAAGCTAAAATTAGGAAGAGAACAGAGAACTTAGTGTCCAAATAGGAACTTCTATCCTATCACAGGGAAAGGGAACTGAAAGTCTTTTCTAAAGTCTCCCAAATTTAGTAATCTCATGAGGAGAACCAATCAATGTTTTAGGACTCAACAATATCATAAGTTGCTGAGCAACGCCTTGGGTTGAAGATGCTATAATGACATGTAAAATTTCTTTCTGTTAAATGTCTCTGAGTTTACTATATATTTATTGAGCACCTTGTAAGAATGAGGCATTATGGCAGCCAGCAAAGGGTAGGCATAGAAAAATTATCCTTGGTTTTGTCTCTGAAAGAGATGACAAGCCTAAATCATAGGATCAGACTCTCAGCAGACTGATATTGTAGGACTTTCATCTGATGTAATCCCCTGCCTCCAGCGAATATATTCCTTAACAATTTTAGGGCAGAATCGTGCTATGGGTCTCCTCCAAGTGATCTAGAAGTCAGTGTCAGAGGATGTTCAAAGCCCCTAGGGTGTTTGCACTCATGATTTTTGAAGGCAGCTGCAGGGCGATTAAGACCTCAGCACAATAGTGTAGAAAATCCACGGAGTGTGTGTGTCATGACTGATATTAAACAGTGAACTCACCATCCGAGTTCACTGCCGGGTCTGTCTTCATTGGAAGTGTTTGGATTCCTTTCTATGTGTTGTTTAATTTTCCTTTCTATTGCACCGTATTTTCAGAAGCAAGAGGGTCATATATACTGTTAAGTGTCTTATAAGTTGAGTGTCTTAACTTGCAGTATTCTCAATAGTGAACATCAAAATTAATTCTTTGGATCAGAACTTCAACAATCAAATGACGTGAGGAGAACTTTCATAATCTTATAACATGAAGGAAGTAATGGTAAAGGCCTCCTGCAGGTTATTATCTCTAGCATTCCCAGGAAAATAAGCTCTGCCCAATTTACTCCACCCTGTTCATTGACCTGAGTCTTCAAATGAGGTGTGTCCCAACAATTACTTCAATCTCTCGTCATATTTGAGATGAGAGGGATTAGGAAAAGGTATCCCCTTTACAGTCCACTGTTTCCAGTAACCACTACCCATGTTCCAAGGTGTAGCTTTCCATCCCTCTCCAGCATTGGGAGGGTTGAAACCCAGAGTTTCTACTCTGATTGTCTATAAATGCAGTTCAGCGCCAGGGATCCCAAACTCTTGGGCTGAGTTGGCCATCGGGAGTCCAGGACACTGGAGGAGAAGTTTGAAACAATAAGAAGTTTCTTAAGTGAAGCTCTGTCACACCATACTACCAAGATTCAGGCATTCTCCATAGCCTGACAATGTACCTTCTCTTTAGGTGATTTGTTGTCTCTTAAATAAACTTCCCAAGCTGTCACAGCACAGAGGCATGGTCTGTCATTAACTCTCACTGTAGGATATTTTCATTGATTCTATTGTCACTAACGTGCTTTAAGTATATCCATTTTTCTAACTTGGATTGGGATGGAAGAGTCTGTGAGAGATTGTACAATATTCTCAAAAACTTGATTTTTTTGTTGTTTTTATTTGGTTGTGTGATTATTTGATTGATTAAGAACTTTGCTTTTTTTAAAAAAAATATTTTACTGAGGTCATATTGGCAAAGGAAACCAAAAACTTTACTTTTTTATCTGTTGAATTAAGTATTTCCTTTCCTGGGCCCTTTACAAAAGTCCTTCCCTTATCAACAGATGTGTCATCTTCAAGGATTTTTCTGATTTGCTGCAGCTCAGCTGATTTGAATTTTAATCAGTCAGACTCTATCACACCCTACATTCTCTTTTCTTTTATTCTTGTGTATGCTGCCCCACTTTTAATCTCTACTGACCCCCATCAAAGCACTCAAGAAGAAAATGGCCCTAAGTGGAGTCCCCATGCTAGGATTTTTCATCACAGCTCTCCTGATGAGACTTCAGGAATCAGAGGCTATCAAAGGTAAGTGCTGAGAGAATCAAAACTAGGGAGAAAAAGTTCTGAGAGGACTGGAGAAATGAACCGTGGACACTTGCAAGACAATCTTTGGAGTGAAAGAAAAGTGTGACAGGTGTTATGTGGGTCTAAATCTAAAAGTATAATAAATTGTAGTTGGAAGAGTTCTCTCCTCACCACAAATTGAAGTAAGTCACATTTAGTTTAGAGGAGCAAAACTGAGTTGTATATTGATTAATACCATTGACTTTGAGATAAGTCAGACTTGAGGGGGGAATATTTTCTGACAGGCATTAACAAGCTACCTCTCCAGGCTTTAATTTTTCATTCTGGAAAATTAGTAAAGTTAAAAACCTCACATAATTTTGTGAGGATTAAATGAGAAAAAAATATGAGAAGTTCTTGGCACCTGTTCTTAGCTGAATATATGGTAGTTATTTTTTGGCATGTGAATCCTGTCAGCATATTTTGAGCGCAGACGTTATATTGAAGATCACTAGAAAGGAAAGTCGCTAAAACGCAACAATCAAGCCAAGGGAGGGGGAAGGGCAGGTATGCTGATATGAATTGCATTTAATTTACTGCCTCTTGGGACAGTGATAGCCCCCTACTACAGTGGATTTTACCATGATCTTTGGTTACTATTACTAAGTGATATTCCCAAGAGAGTAGAAAAATGAGTAGAGAAGTGGAGAGTCTCTATTCTCTATCTCCAGAGCAAACATTGTGCTATTGTGAAGATGTGTTGTGAAAAAATATCTTCACCCAGAGTGATGGCCACAGAGGGTGGCAAGTAGACTGGAAATAAGTAAAGTAATAACCCAGCTTTTTAAGACCAATGATGGCGATTGTAGGTTTCTATTGCCCAGAAAGAGCCATATATGGGGATACATACCTGGAAAGACAGAGACTCTTCCCATGGACTGGACAGGGGCAGCTAGAATGCATGTGTGCATGTGTGTGTGTGTGTGTGTGTGTGTGTGTGTAGCTGCAAATGCTAAATAAATCCCTGGGTTTATCAATATACAGTCAGACTTTAAAATCCTCCTCTCATCTGCATGCCCCACAAAGGCTGCATACCCTCCAATTCTAGTTTTCTTTTTTCAAGTTGATTATTCTCTTGGTATAGATTATTCTCAGTATCAACCATAATAGAATATGTCCCTTAATGAGAGTCTCAATTTAAGGAGCTTTAAGATAACAAGGGCATGTTGCTGAGATAAATCCAAATATGATCCTTCTCACAGAGATATCCGTGATGTGGGTGTGGATCTGGGGAAGTGGGTGCTGCTCTATAACACTACAAGATCTCAATCTTAATTTTCTAGGTACTTCAGTCCCCAGTTACATTTTCCATGGGTCTGGTCCTTAAATGCAAAGGAATTTCTGACCCTAAAGTGCTTGTTATAAGTCTGATGATATACCAAGAAATTACTTACCTTGTCTCATTTAATCTTAAGAACAAATCCATGGTAGAAGCAAAACCACAGCAGAATAATAGGAAAACTTCATATAAATGGGTAAAATAATCTACTCAAGATTACTGGGTAAGTAAGTAGCCAAATAAGAATGCAAAATTTAATTTGATTCTAGAGTTCAGAACCCAACCTTTTTAAACAGTATTCCCCTCTTCTTAGAGTTACAATGATCTGAGAGATGCCCTGCAATTCTAGCTTACGTGTATTTAATGCGTGGGTAAAGAGAGTGAGAGAACATTTCTCTTTTAGGAGCTGCTTCTGGATTTCGAAAGAGGGAATCATTTCTCAGCTAGTAACATGGCGTCAAACAACAGCTTCACAAGACTCTGGGTTTTTCAGCTTCATTCCTTTCAATCCACCCTCTCCAACACTGCTCCTTTGCTTCTCCCCTCTCATCTGTTTAACACAGATGTCCTTCACCCAGGCCTCATCTTCCCACTCATCCCTACTTTCCATTACTCCTCCTTTCCACTTGGCCCTCTCCCTTTCCACCATCCTCTGCCCACATGTTTGTGTCTCATATCCTGGGTTCTTCTTCATCTCCCTCTCCTGGTTCTCACCCTGACTCCCTTTCCTGCCTTTTCAGAGGAGCATGTGATCATCCAGGCTGAGTTCTATCTGACCCCTGACCCAACGGGCGAGTACATGTTTGACTTTGATGGTGATGAGATTTTTCACGTGGATATGGAAAAGAAAGAGACTGTCTGGAGGCTTGAAGAATTTGGACGTTTTGCCACCTTTGAGGCTCAGGGTGCATTGGCCAATATAGCTGTGGACAAAGCCAACCTGGAAATCATGATAAAGCGCTCCAACCACACCCCAGACACCAGTGGTAACTTTCCCTGATGCACTCCTAGACGTGGGAATCACAGCTGTAAAAAAAGATACTCCAGCTCTTTGTGTTATATTATTGTGACTAACTTGCCCTCCCAGGGGCCTAACTTTGCCATAAGCAAGCCCAAATTCTCATGCCACAGACCCAAGAACTTTATGAGTTTGTTCCTTTCTTAATGTGCTCATGTCTTGTCTCTGCCATCCACAGTCACTCCCAAAGTCATTGCCCTAAATCCATGCTGGCAGAGCCAGGAATGAGATCTTTGGATATCTCATATCTCAATATTGGTTCCAGTTCTTGGGGGAGGGTATCAGAGATACATGTCTAAGACTGTGGCATGGATTTTCAAGGCACAATTTCAACTGCTTTTTCAGCTTTTGGTGGGAGGGAGAGGGGCAAGCCTAAACAGGGAAGGCTAATTTCTGTCATTTGTCCCCCAGTACCTCCCGAGGTGACTGTGCTCCCAAACAAGCCTGTGGAACTGGGAGAACCCAATATCCTCATCTGTTTCATCGACAAGTTCTCCCCACCAGTGGTCAATGTCACGTGGCTTCAAAATGGAAAACCTGTCACTGTCGGAGTGTCAGAGACAGTCTTCCTGCCCAGGGAAGACCAGCTTTTCCGCAAGTTCCACTATCTCCCCTTCTTGCCCTCAACTGAGGATGTTTATGACTGCAAGGTGGAGCACTGGGGTTTGGATGAACCTCTTCTAAAGCACTGGGGTATGGACCATCCTTCAATCTCCTTTTTTTTATGGCTTCCTCCTGTGATGCATGTATCTGATCCTTTGGAACCCCAAGTCCCCTGTTTCATAACAACTGCTACAATTCCTATTTCTTGTCTCTCCTATTACTCAGCTTCCTCCACTTTCTAATCTATAATTTCCTTAATACATCATTCTATCTCCCTCTTATGTAATTGATTTATAACTATTCTTTTGACTAAGTACCCTACATTTGGTCCTAAGTGCTACTCCCTACACATTCATTACTTCTGTACTGTTTTACTTTTACCCAGAGTTTGAAGCACCAACTCCCCTCCCAGAGACAACAGAGAATGTGGTGTGTGCCCTGGGCCTGGTTGTGGGTCTGGTGGGAATCATTGTTGGGACCATCTTCATCATCAAGGGTGTGCGCAAAGGCAATGTTGTTGAACACCGAGGGCCTCTGTGAGGCACTTGCAGGTGGGTTTGATGTGGTCAAAGAAAGACATGTATGGAGTTATCCAGGGGAAGGAAACAGAGTGAGGAAAAGGATATGTGATGCCTTTAAGGGAAAAAGATAGGAAAAGTCACAGCTCTTGATTTATCTTTGCTAGGACAGTATCAGACATTAACATTTTCTAGTGTCCCAAGGCTTCAAGGTTCCTCATCCATCCCTTTCTATACATGTACACCTAGACCACACCTTCAGTCTTGGAAATTATCTCCAGTACCTAATTTCATTGTTTTACATTAGACCACTGAGTCCAGTGATCTAGGAAAGTCAGCTTCAAGATTTGGGCACTTCCTAGCTTATATTTCCTGAGGCAGGCCATCAGTTCAGAAGCATTTCCAGGGCTTGACACTTTTGGGGTTAGGGTAGATTCATTGCAAGAAATGGAAATCTCTTGGAGGCCAATGCCTGTTTATGCTCCTCCAATGTGAAAGTGGTGCAAGAGTTCTAAGAGAAGGTAAAGCATGGTCTGCTCATCCATGCTCACTTAGAGAGTAGGGTATAGTAGTTCATGTTGGAAAGGTTATATTTTGCTAGAGATCAGATGAATATTAAGACACTTTTCCAAAGTCAAAAGGTTAAGGGAGAAGAGAAAGGTATCTGAAGGAAAGAGCTCAAAATACTCATCTTAAATTCTTTAGTAACTATGTGTGTCCTGCTACAGGTAATGGACTTTCTTAGAGAGAAGATCAATGAAGAAACTTCTGCTTCAATAGCTTTACGAACCCGGCAATACTCCATTTGTTCACTTCAGCGAAGACAACAATTCTTCAGCACTTTCCAGCCCTTTAGCTACTCTAAGAATGTTGATTTCTTCCCAATCTCTCCATACGCTAATAGCTAGTTATTCCTTGTCAATTGTCCCTTCTTATTTTTGTTTCCCTTCCATTTCCTACTATCTTTTTATTATTACCATGTAATGCCTCTGTAATAGACCCCACAGAATTCTTCCTCCATTATGGAACCTTTTGAACATTCTACAGGGGTGTCTTCTGTATACTTATTGCTTGAGCCTTCTTCAAACTGTGATTGTGATTTTTCTAAATACAATAAACTACTGAGTGGGTCTTAGATGGAGTTTTTGGTGTCTGAGCCAGTTCTTCATGGGGGCTGGGGAATATACGTGATCCTTCCATCCTGAAATGTCTAAATGTTGAATGTATCTTATAAGCTCTGTAATTAATCCAGAATATCCAGGTTCATTAGGGCTTGGCCTCATTCAGAGGATCTGCAAGCAATCCACTTGCTGTGGTCCAGTCGTCAACTGGAAAACTCTAGAGTAGGGTTTATTTGTTGGGAGATTTCTACTTAGTAATGGGTCCAGAATCTGGTTTTTGTTCTTGAGCCTCCAAGATCTTGGATTTTCAGTAGAGTGAATCTCAAACCCTAGGGTTTGGCCTCTGATAATGGGTGAGACAGGTGATGGGGAGCAGATGGGGAGCAGAATAATAGAGGAGGATCCATATACATTACTGAATTTATATGTCAACATCACCCGTTCCAGACTTAATGAGGAATGATATTGGATATGGAGGATTGGCATTACCCATTTTATTAACATAGTCTCAGAGGCCTGTTTCATTACCAGGAGAACAGTCTGACTTATTCTTGGAACCGTCTTGTATAGATGTGTCCTTGAGTGGAAAAACTGAGTAAAGAGTTGGGGGCAGAAGTGGGGTATGGCATTAAAATGTGAGGAAAGAATGTTTGAGACACAGTGAGCTATTGCTCATTTATCTGTGAAACTATGACTTTATATTTATTTCTAAAATGGTTAGCAGAACCTACCCCAAATCATAAAGATTAATTATCCATGACAGTGTGGTAGACTAGCAAATAAGGGCTATCAAGATGAATTAGACTTGGGCTTCATCTTGGCTCTATCATTTACTAGATTTATATTCACTGGTATCTTACTTAACTCAATTTAGCCTGATTTTTCTTATGAAAAATACTAATGCTAATTTTTACCACATTGAGTTATTATAAGAATTAAAAGAAAAACACAAGCAAAGTAATTAGGGTCCATGCTTAGTGATAATAATATTGCAAAAATTATCAATTCCATGATTTTTCTTAAAAATTCCTACAGCCTGATGAGAAAAATCTAAGAAAAGCAAAACAAAACAAGCACAAACCAAGGCAGCACAACCTTGAAGGATAGCAGAATTGCCACCCCATCATATGCCTCTTTGGCATAAGGATATTTTGAGCTGATGGAGTGGTGTTAGATAACAGAATTGCTTAGATTACTTGCTGGCTGAACAAGGAGGAATCTGTGCCATAGGAAATACTTCTCACTGTACCTGGATCAACACCTCTGGTATCGCAGAAACTCAAATACAAGAAATTAACAAACAAGCTATTTGGCTCAAAGAGATTGATGCCTCTTCAGGTACGTTCTTTGATTTATTTGGTACCAGCTGCCAACTGGTTCGGTTCAGGGGGGACTTGGCTAAGAAGGTATTTCAGTCTCTTGGTATTATCTTCCTGATAGTCATCATCGTAGTCTCCCTAGTGGGCTATGTTCTCTCAAAGGTCTTAAATACATGTTCACAACCATCAGCAGTACATTAGAAGATCTCACTTGGACAAACAAAAAGATGATGAGCAATGAGATGAACAGCAAAAACCTTCCATGAAACTGACATCATAGCCTGTAAGTTCACAGCCAAACAAGAATAACTTAACCCTGATGGTGACTGAGATTGATGCTAATACCAAATTTTTAGTCATCCTCTCACAGATGTCAGACAACTGCGAGAGGATGACCAAAAGGGGGAAATTGTCAAAGTAATTAAACAAGGAGACCATTAGACTAAGATGGCTCCAATGCCTAGTGGCCTACCTAAGCAAACCCAAACCTAACCCAAAGTCAATTACTGGTACTCCAGAAAATGAAATTTAAGAACAACCAATCACAAACAGCCAACTAAGATTTTCCAAGTAAGGCAACCACTTAAGGTATAGCCAGTCAAATAATTTTCTTTCTTTGCTTCCATGTCTGTTCTATAAAAGTGTTTCCCCTAGCTGTTGATGGTGGAGCACTCTTAACCACTTTCAGTTTTGTGATGCTGGATTTGAATTGTTCACTCAAATAAACTCTTGAAAATTTTAGTGTGCCTCGGTTTATCTTTTAACAAACTTATAAGACTATAAATAGAAAGTTTCCGTACCTATGGTTTATAAAATCAAAATAAAGGATTCAGAAAATTGAAGATAGAATAGGCACAGTGTTTCTTTTACATAGCTCCGATTTTTTATTATAAAATAAACAGAAGTACAATAAGGAATACATGAAAACTCAGACACATATGGAATAAAAAGAAAAACTTGATATCATCCCACTTAAAAAAGATACTTTTTAAATATACTTTATTTTCCAAAGCAGTTTTAAGTTTATAGAAAAATTGTGCAGAAAGTATGAGAGTTCCCATATACTCCTTATCTTCCCCCCAGCTCCACACACAGTTTCTCTTATTATTAACATTTTGCATTAATGTGGTACATTTGTTACAATTGATGAACCAATATTCATATATTATTGGTAACTAATGTCCATAGTTTATGTTAGGGTTCACTCTTTGTATTATACAGTTCTATGGATATCCACCATTACTGTATCATTCAGAATAATTTCACTGATCTAAAAATTCCCTGAGTGTCACCTATTCATCCCTCTCCTCCTCCCCTTGAATCCTTGGTAACCACTGATCTTACTGCCTTTATAGTTTTGCCTTTTCCGGAATATCTTATAGTTGGAATCATACAGTAAGTGGCTTTTTCATTCTAAGATAATTCTTTCACTTAGCAATATGCTTTTAAGGTTTCCCCATGTCTTTTCATAGCTTACTAGCTTATTTCATCACTGAATAATACTTCATTGTGTGGATGTACCAGTTTGTTAATTGTGCTTTCACCTTGAAAGACATCTTGGTTGCTTCCAGGTTTTGGCAGTTATGAATAAACATTCTTGTTCAGGTTTTTGTGTGGATGTAAGTTTTAAATTCATTTGAGTAAATACCTGGGAGCATGATCGCTGGATCATATGGTAAGAGTATGTTTAGCTTAGTAAGAAACCACCGGTGTCTTCCAAAGTGACTGTACCGTTTTGCATTACCACCAGCAATGAATGAGAGTTCCTGTTGTACTACATCCTTGCACATTTGGTGTTGTGAGGGTTCTGAATTATAGCTAGAAAGCCAATTTTTTAAAACTTTTTCTTTCAAAGTAATTATAGATTCACAGGAAGTTGCAAAGATGGTACAAATAGATCCTGTGTACCCCTTCACCTAGTTTCCCCAAATGGTTATATCTTAAAAAACTATAGTACAATATCAAAACCAGGAAACTGACATTGGTACAATGTGTGTGTAAATTCTATGCCAATGTTTGATTACATTTGTAGATTTGTGTAACCACCACCACAATCAAGCACAGAACCATTGCATTCCTACAGAGATCTCCCTCAGGCTACCCTTTATAGTTAGAACCACGTCCCTTCAGACACCATCTCTTTAACATCTGACAACCACTAATCTGTTCTCCATCTCTATAATTTCATCATTTCAAGAATGTTAGGTAAATGGAATCATACAGTGTGTGATTTTTTGAGATTGGCATTTTTCATTCAGCATAATGCCCTTGAGATCCATCCAAGTTGTTGGGTGTATCAACAATTGTTGGTTCAACTATTCACCTATTGAAGGGCATTTTGGTTGTTTTCTAGTTTGGGACTATTACAAATAAAGCTGCCATGAACATTTGTATTAAGATTATTGTATGAACATGAGTTTTCATTTCTCTGGCATAAATGACCAGAAATGTGATTACTGGATCATGTGGTAAGCATATGTTTAGTTTTTTAAGAAACTGCCCAACTATTTTCCAGAGGGGTTGTACCATTTTGCATTCCTACCATCAGTGTATGAGAGATTCAGTTTCTCTACATTCTGACTAACATTTTGCATTATCAATATTTTATATTTTAGTTGTTTAAATAGATATTAAACTTAATAGGAAGTGATATATCATGCTCTTAATTTGCATTTCCATAATGGCTAGTGATGTTGAATATCATTCCATGTGCTTATTTTTTAATGTGGAGTTTTGAGAGTCCTTTATATATTTTAGATACATACCGTTTATGATATTTGGGGTGTGAAAATATTTTCTCTCTGTCTGTAGCTTATCTTTTCATTCTCTTAACAGAATATTTTGCATAATAAAAAATTTTAATTTCAATAAAGCCCAGTTTACTGATGCTTTTCTTTTATGGATCGTGCTTTTGGTCTCACGTCTAAGAACTCTTCACCAGGCCCTTGGTCCCAAAGATTACCTCCTGTGTTTTTTTCTAAAAGATTTATATTTTACATTTAAATTTGTCATCTATTTTTAGTGAATTTTTGTATAAAATATGAGATTTGGTCTAGTTTCTTTCTTTCTTTCTTCTCCTTTTTTTCTTTTTTTGCCTATGGATATCCACTTGCTCCAGCACCATTGTTTGAAAAAACTAAACATCTTCCATTCAATTGCTTTGCACCTTTGTCAAAAGTGAGTAGATGTGAGTCTATTTCTGAATTCTCTATACTGTTTCATCAATCCATGTGTCCATCCCTTCACAATACTCATCAGTCTTGACTACTGTAGCTATATAAAAGTCTTCAATCAGTTAGAGTGATCCCTCAACTTTATTTTTATTTCTCAAGTTTGTCTTGTCTATTCTAAGTCCTTTGCTTTTTCATATAAATTTTAGAAAAACTTTATCTACAACTATTAAAAATTTTGCTGGGATTTGGATTGAAATTGCATTAAACCTGAATAGCAATTTAGGAGAGACCTGACTTTTTTAGTATGTTCAATTTTTCAGCTGATGACTATGGTAAGTCTCTCCATTTATTTAGATCTTTGACTTCTTTCATCAACATGTCAGCATACAAGTCCTGTACATGTTGTGTTAGAGTTGTACTTGTGTTTCTTTTTTTTTATTGCTTGTAAATGGTATTTATTTTTAATTTTTGATTTATGTCTTCATTGCCATATATAGAAATACAAATGGATTCTTTTGTTTGAT